CTCTTCTCTCAGGCAAAAACATTCAAATTTTTGTATCACAAAAACTGTAAAGTGAAAGAAAAAAGGAAATGTCTTAATTTCTACTGAAACTGACAACCCAAGATCATGGAAGTTGGATGCCAGGATCTATTGACCTCTAAGAAATCACTGGAAAGATGATACATATTTGTAAAAAGAACTGCACACTATTCTATTCTTCAGGGAATATCAGGATAAAACAAAACTCATCTCAGGCAAAAACATTCAAATTTTTGTATCACAAAAACTGTAAAGTGAAAGAAAAAAGGAAATGTCTTAATTTCTACTGAAACTGACAACCCAAGATCATGGAAGTTGGATGCCAGGATCTATTGACCTCTGGAAGAAATCACCCCAAAGAAGTAGTTAGGGGAAGGATCTTGTCAGGAATATTGCTCCCTCCTTCAACTTCAGTATCTTTCTAAATTACTCATTTCACCTTTCTCAGGAATTTATTCAGAGCTGATTGAATGTCCCTGTTCCTCAGACAGTAGATAATGGGATTAAAGAAAGGTGGTGTCACAGAATAGATAATAGAAAACAACAAGTCTATAAGAGCAGGTTCATTGGAAGTCGGCTTTACATAATCAGCAATACCTGTTAGGAAAAAGCTGCCCACAACCATCAGATGGGGCACGCAGGTGGAGAAGGCTTTGGACCGGCTCTCCCTAGATGGCATCTTCAACACAGAAGAGAAAATAAACACATAGGAGACCAAGATGGAGACCAAACAAGACAATGAATAGAGGACACCAAGAGCCACACTGACATTAATAGCAGCATGCTCCTCGGGACAACTGACCTCTAGAATGGCAGGGACATCACAGAAAAACTGGTGAATCCTGTTGGAGCCACAGAACTCCAGGGAGAGCATTGCAGCTGAGAACAAGATGCCCAGGGCCCCTCCACTGAGCCAGGACACAGCCATCAACAAGACACAGAACCTTTTGCTCATGACAGCCCCATAGTGCAGAGGGTGACAGATGGCAACATAACGATCGTAGGACATGGCAGTGAGGATTCCCACCTCTGACTCTGGCAAGAGGACCATCAAGAAG